TCAATTATTATTTCCAACAATCCGTTTAGATTTTAATTTTGTTAAAACAGATTTGTAATTTCACTAATCAATTTTTAATTAAGTAAAAATTCTTCAAAGATGAAATTGAGGGATTTATTCTTTACGAAAGATCCAAATTAATCTATCGGATTCTAAGGAATAAATGACTAAATCAATTGTCCATACTCTGATAAAAAATATTTGAGGAACAATTAAAGTATCACAACCCGTACGAAATTTGTAAAAACAATTACCTCATGTTTTGTTTTATTACTCATCAACGCCAGATAACTGGGACTCGTTTCCGCCTTCTCTAATACCTTCAGGTACTTGCTTCTAGCTTCTAGGACGTCTTCCACAAGTTTCTTATGCCTTACAGCCAACTCCAGCGCTCTATTCCAATTATACATCTGGATATTGATGCGAATGGCTTCACTGATGAGTCCATTCTGCAGAAGAATCCCCTCTGCCCCCAGCAAATCCCCAGCCAGGAGTGACATCTCAGCCAATTTCTCTGTTTTATTCGGTAATTTCTTAACCCTCTGGATGTAATCCACTTTGTCATACCTCTCAATAGCAGCATATGACTCCTCAGCAGCTTCTAATTGTTTACCTTCTGTCGCCATAACTGCCATACAAGTCCACAGAATCTCGTTCTGGGCAATTCTACATAATGAAAGACCCTCTTGCCATTTATCTCTCGTAATATGTTTATGTAAACTCGTGAAAAATGTGTAGAATGCTGTAGCCACCAGAGCACCATCTCCACGTCGAACTGTTACCATTCCATTCTGAACGCTTACGATACTCGGCTGTTTTCCATATTCACTAAATATTCCAGGGAAAAAGCAAATTTCAGTCATTTTTTTAGTCAAGAATTTCAGGAGCGTCTATATACATTACATATGTATATGCCCCATATACACAAACAATTTATTCGATACATAAAATCTGTAGCAATTATATTCAGTAAATCGTCTTCATCATAACTAATTTATTGAATTTAGTTCATAAAATTGAAATACAAAAATTATTATTTTTATGAAATAAGGAGAATAAGTTTAATAATTGTCAAGATATGTGAGAGAATTCCATAGGAAATACGGTAATGTTGAGATTATATCAAGTTTTTAATTATAATGATTTTTAATATTTTTTTAATATTCTTTTTATAGTTTATTTTAGGGATTTCTCAGTATTCAATGAAAATCTCGAGATCTTGGAGAGATAGAGTAATTATTGATAAAGCTTTTTTGTAGAACTGATTGAGATCTGCGAAAAAGGTAATCGAAAGAATTTTTCTATCTCCTCTAGTTTAGGAGATATTCCTGAAGAACGCGCCGAAGTGCTGAGTTGATGGAACTGAGAGTCTAGATAAGGTTTATAAAAAATTCACAAATAGTA